TTTTCTATGATGAAAGAATCATTATCATATGCTTCCTTTTTTTTTTTTTTAGAAAACTGACGGCATTGAAAGTGACCTTTTCTGATAAAAACTTGTCCGTTGTCTGTCGTTGTTGTTGGCGTCGTTGTCGTCGGTGGGGTTGTTGTAAACTTTTCACATTTTCATTTTCTTCTCAAGAACCACTGGGCCAATTTCAACCAAACTTGCTACAAAGTATCCTTGGGTAAATGGGATTCAATTTTGTACAAATGAAGGGCCATGCCCTTTTCCAAGGGGAGATAATTATGAATTAGAAAAAAATTAATGGCATTTTTAAAAAATCTTCTTCTCAAGAATCACTGGGCCAGGAAAGATGAAACTAATGTGGAATCATCCTCAGTTAGTGTAGATTCAAACTTATTCAAATCATGACCACCCAGGGATAGAGTGGGGCCAAAATGGCCGATCAAAGTTTTAAATAGGAATATATAGGAAAAATCTTTAAAAATCTTCTTCTCAAGAACCACTGGACCAGGAAAGATGAAACTAATGTGGAATCATCTTCAGGTAGTGTAGATTCAAATTTGTTCAAATCATGACCCTTGGGGATAGGGTGGGGCTAAAATGGCTGATCAAAGTTTAACATAGGAATATACAGGAAAAATCTTTAAAAATCTTCTTCTCAAGAACCACTGGACCAGGAAAGATGAAACTCATGTGGAATCATCTTCAGGTAGCTAGATTCAAGTTTGTTCAAATCATGACCCCTGGGGTTAGGGTGGGGCCAAACTGGCTGATCAAAGTTTAACATAGGAATATAGAGGAAAATCTTTAAAAATTTTCCTCTCAAAAACCACTGGACCAGGAAAGATGAAACTCATGTGGAATCATCGTCAGGTAGTGTAGATTCAAGTTTGTTCAAATCATGACCCCTGGGGTAGGGTTGGGCCAAAATGGCCGATCAAAGTTTAACATAGGAATATATAGGAAAAATCTTTAAAAATCATCTTCTCAAGAACCACTGGACTAGGAAAGATGAATCTAATGTGGAATCATGTGGGGCTAAAATGGCCAATCAAAGTTTTAAATAGGAATATACAGGAAAAATCTTCTGAAGAACCATTGAGACAGAAAAGATGAAACTCATGTGGAATCATCCTCATGTAGCGTAGATTCAAGTTTGTTCAAATCATGACCTCCGGGGGTAGGGTGGGGCTAAAATGGCCAATCAAAGTTTTAAATAGGAATATACAGGAAAAATCTTCTGAAGAACCATTGAGACAGAAAAAATGAAACTCATGTGGAATCATCCTCGGGTAGTGTAGATTCAAGTTTGTTCAAGTCATGACCCCCAGGGGTAGGGCGGGGCCAAAATGGCCGATAAAAGTTTTACATAGGAATATCCAGGGAAACCTTTTAAAATCTTGTTTTCAAGTACTTTAAAGCCATGCTTAGTGATATTTATAGGGAATCATCCTCAAGTAGCGTAGATTCAAGTTTGTTCAAATCATGACCCCCGGGGGTAGGGTGGGGCCAAAATGGCCGATAAAAGTTTTACACAGGAATATCTATGGAAACCTTTTAAAATCTTGTTTTCAAGTACTAGTACTTTAAAGCCATGCTTAGTGATATTTATAGGGAATCATCCTCAGGTAGCGTAGATTCAAGTATGTTCAAATCATGACCCCCTGGGGGTTAAAATTAAAGCCCCCCCCCTTCAGCAAACTTTCAGTTCTGATCTGATATGTGATTTTTCCTATCCAATTGCTCAGGTGAGCGATGTGGCCCCTGGGCCTCTTGTTTCTTGTAAATTTCAAAGGAAAAAAAAACAAATGTTATTCAATTATGTATATTTTATATGCAAATTTAAATCATAATCAATTCTTACAGTTAGAATTTAATAATAGCTATAGGTTATTTATTTTTTTTCATCATGCATTTAAATAATATTTTTGCATAAACACTGTGTTTGCATCAAAGATTTATTATAATATTCAAGCTTTCTTTAATTCATTCTTACGAAATAGAGTTAATAAATGCATTAGTTTATTTATTTATTTATTTTTTTATTTTTCATATTTTGAAAATTAGTTATTTATAAAAGATATCCATTTTAATGAAGCATATTTTCTTCAGTGTTGAAACATCTTAATTATTTAATGACGAAATTAATGTTTAACTGACGGCGTTAGGATACTGATGATAATGATAATTACTTAATTTACATTGAAAACATCAGACAGAAAATTTAATGACCCAAGCTAACAAATATGTTACAAAGTGATAACTAATTCAAATTAGTACATGCAAGCTCCAAAATTACACATAACTACATTTATTTATTTATTTATTTTATCGGCGTGTCGTATCCAAGCTTCAATGCAGTTTCAGTGTGATGGAGAATTTTTGCATTCAAGCTCTGAAAATTACATTTATTTAGTTTTTGATTTGTGATGAAAGTGTAAAATAAATAAGTTAATTTAGAGAATATATAAATAAAAAAAATTCCAGTAGCGAAAATAGCGATAGTGTTTAAATTATAAATACATTGTATTTCTGTTTTGTTTTCAACAGAATGAGAAAATTTATTTTCAGTTGTTTATTTTAACTTTCTTGTACTGAAACAATATCATTTTTATACAAATCTCCATCTCTTGCATATAACTTTAACAGAATGCGAAAATTATATTAAATATAAAAATTATAAGAATGATGCACAGACGCGTAGCCAGGCGTACGTTTGTACGCAAAAAACGTCCACATCATTTTGCAAAAAAAAAAAACCTTAAAAAATAAAAAAGAAAGAGAGAGAGGCGGAGAGAAAGAGAGAGAGGATTACGTAATTTGCATTCTGTAACGAATTTCCCCCAAACTTTTAACCTTATAGCGTATTTGAACAGATTACATGTATATCTCATTCTTGAGTTTTAATCCGCATTTTGTACATTACAAGAAAAGAATCGATCTCAAATGTGGCTGCGTAACAAACTGAAAAAGCGCAAGAAAAAATGCTTTTAGGAGGGTCAAAAATGCACATCGAAATCGTCAAAAATTCACCAGTTCACGGGGGCTTCGCCCCCTCGACCCCCACAAGGGCTTCGCCCTGGACCCATTGGGGGCCTTACGGCAGGCCCCAACCCCCCTGCCTATTCAGGCGTCCACATTAAAGGTACCCTGGCTACGCCCCTGAATGCATCGAGACCAATAGATATAAAAGCGATACGATTTTTTAAGCCCCAGTATTACATACATGTATTAGTAGTATTAGTAGTATTAGGATCAATCTATGAAAGAACAGAAACATTAAGCCTATAAAAAGCTAGTAACTTAGTATCAAAATTTGTTTGTTTGGAGGAAGGGAGAATATTCCTCTAACTTTGAGGAACTTTTCAATGCAATAATACTCTAAGGTTCAATATTACACTGCAGCAAAATGCTATATTCTGTCCTTGATCTGCCCTTGCTATTTTAATATTATCTTAATGGATTACTTTGTTGATTAAAAAAAGCACTTCAGTTATTGTTGAAAATTATCAAGAATAAAAGTAACTGCAGATCGATCTGTAGCGTTATGGTTATAAGCTCACCTGAGCTGAAGGCTCAAGTGAGCTTTTCTGATCACCCGTTGTTTGTCGTCCGTCCGTATGTAAACTTTTCACATTTTCAACTTCTTCTCAGAAACCACTGGGCCAATTTTGACCAAACTTGGTACAAGGCATCCTTGGGCGAAGGGGAAATTGAATTGTAAAAATCAAGGGCCAAGTCCCTTTTTTCAAGAGGAGATAATCGAGAAAATACAAAGATAGGGTGGGGTCATTAAAAAATCTTCTCAAGAACCACTGAGCCAGAAAAGCTCAAACTTATGTGGAAGCATCCTGGGGTAGTGTAGATTCTAAATTGTAATAATCATTAAACCCGGGGAAAGGGCGGGCCACAATAGGAAAACCAAGTTTTACATAGAAATACATAGGAAAAAACTTTAAAAATTTTCTTCTCAAGAACCACTGAGCCAGATAAGCTCAAACTTATCTGGAAGCATCCTGGGGTAGTGTAGATTCTTAATTTTTCAAATCATGACCCCTGGGCTAGGGCGGGGCCACAAAAGGGAATCCAAGTTTTACACAGAAACATACATGGAAAAATCTTCTCAAAAACCATTGGGCCAGAAAAGCTGAAACTTATGTGAATCTTGGAGTAGTGTAAATTCTAAATTATCCAAAATCATGACCCCTGGGGTAGGGCGTGGTCGCCATTTGTATTACAAAACGGGGGGGGGGGGTCTGTTAAAGAACAACATGGCCAAAGTTTATCAGGTAGGCGATATGGCCCATGGGCCTCTTGTATATAGTAGTCTTGACCATAATGTGAAGATTACTATATTAAACCATAACTATGGCACGCCAAATTCACAAAAATAAGATAATCATAGTTTCACAATCGATAAACTAGGTTTATCGGTTGTAAACTATAGTTTACGGTCTGTAAACTATAGTTAACAACATTAATCTATATTTTACATCTGTAAACTTTGCGATAATCTATGATTCACAACCGTAAACTATACTTAACACCGAAAACTATCATTTGCGATTGCTAAACATAGATTATCTGATAAATACAGTTTCATAATTTGTAAACTATAGTTTAAAAACCGTTTACTATAGTTAACGATCTGATAAATATAGTTTCACGATTTGTGAAACTATGATTAACAACTCTTAACTATAGTTTACGACTGTAAACTATAGTTTACAAACGTTAATCTATGTTTATCAACAAAATCTATTGTTAACGCTTTATTCAGACAGATAAACTTAGATAAGCATTCGTAAACTATAGTTAACGACCGTTAAATATGGTTTTACAGATGTAAACTATACGTAACGAATCGTTAACTATAGTTTACGGTTGTAAACTATAGCTTACAGTCGATAAACCTAGTTTGTCAATTGTGAAACTAGGTTTATCTCATTTTTGTGAATTTGGCGTGCCATACATAACGCTACAGATCTGTAGTCTAGGTCACCTACACGTTTGTTGCATCGATGCGTGGTCTCACACCAAACGTCTAGGAGCATTCCACTATAAATATTTTTACTTCAGAACGAGGCTTATCCAGAATTTGATAAAGCCTGTGATTGGTTGAACCAAAATAATGGCAGAAACGTTTGACAGCAAGATCGCCAGAGTTTTGGCTGATCTTAGAATCGAATTTCCTTTGAAAACATTACAGAAAGTATGCCTGGAGAAATTAGCAAATAGGTTGGACGTATTTGCAGTGCTACCTACGGGTTATGGGAAGTCATTGTTATACGCTATTTTACCGAAATTGATGCTTGAAGTTGAAGATAATTTACAGTGTGCCATAGTTCTTGTCATTTCGCCGCTTGTTTCTCTAATAAAAGACCAAGTTGCTAACTTGAAAAAATACAGCGTGGAGTCTATTTTCCTCGGAGAGGAGCATGACAGAGGTTTGTATATAACTTATGGCATTACACTAGGTTAGATCAACCAAATAATTTAAATAGGTCATTAGTCATCCGGTACACACAGTGTGTATACAGGTGTAGGAGTTTGCGGATGATAAAATAATCAGTCTGAATGTTACAGTATACACTTTCTTATCACTTGCTGAATTAAAAAAACGAAATTTATGAAAGAATGTTCGACAGTATATGCTTATTTACTCTCAAATATGATTCATGTCCACTGTTGACACATTAAAAGCGTTTTGACTTGTTTATAACAGATAATAGGTCCTTGTTTATGGCATCAGATATTTTGGAAATATATTTTTTGGTCATTTTAGACACATTGGAACACATTCAGGAAGGCAAATTCCCTATCGTTCTTATGAGCCCAGAAGCTTATTTTAGTGGTACATGGAGAGGGTTGCTGACATCTTCACCATATCAGAAGTTTGTGCAATCCATTGTGATTGATGAGTGCCACTGTGTGGAACAATGGTGAGTCATATTAGAGAATAATAGTTTTTTATGAATCAAGAATCAAGCAGCTATCATGTTGTCAAACATCATTAAATTTAACACACATTTTATCAACAGGGGAGACCAGTTCAGAACCGATTTTTCTAGGATTGGAGAATTGAGAAGTATTTTTCCAAAAGCAACATTTTAGCCCTTACAGCAACTGCAACTCCAAAAACAAGAAAAAATATTGCAGAAATCCTTTGCATGAGAGATTATGAATTAGTCATTACCAGCTGTGACCGACCAAACATAACGCATGTTTCAATCCGGGCTCCTAATACAGTTCAAGACACTTTTTACTGGTTGTGTTCAAAAATCCAGGAGCTAAAACATGAAACTGAAAAATGCATTATATACTGTAGGAATATTAAGACTTGTGGAATTCTTTTCCTTTATTTAAAAGAAAATCTTGGTGTTGAAAATTCATACAGAGGAACTCCATCTGCAAGAAATTGTTATTATGCAATGTATCATCATTCTACTGCACCAAAAAATAAGAAAATCATTATCGAAACATTCCCAAAACAAGACAGTACAATACGTGTTATAATTGCAACCACTGCATTTGGGATGGGGGTTAATATTCCAGATGTTAGAGTAGTAGTACACTGGGGTGCACCACATACATTTCAGTCATACATGCAGCAAAGTGGCCGAGCAGGAAGAGATGGACTTCAATCTCTGTCTGTTATATACTACCATCCAACAGACATCAGCAAAACTGCAACAGATGAGAATTGTAAAACTTTTTGTACTACACAGTCATGCAGAAGAAAGTTCTTGGTCCAGCATTTTACCCCGGAAAACACCACCTGTGTTGAGGATGTGCACACATGCTGTGACATATGCAAGTCTTCATGTTCATGCTCAGCGTGTCCTGATTTACACCCATCATGCCTCATTATTGAAGATAAAGACATGGTACAGGCACTGGCTGAATCTGAAAATCGCACATTCCGAACCGTAACCCACACCCAAAGATTGTCCATCAAACGAAAAATAGAGGAATTAAGAAGAAAAATGGTATCTGATCTCAATATTAATACATCAATTCTAAACATTGGATTATTAACTGGCTTAAGTGAAAAAGTTATTGAGGATATTGTTTCAAATGTTCATTATATTTTTGCAATTGAAGACATCTTAACAGAGTATGTATATGATGAAGAACTGGCACGAAATCTCCTGAATATTGTTGAAGATGTTCTTGGTGTTGAAGAGAAATAAACGAGAGATGTTTGTAAAATACATATGCCCCCTCCCCCAAACAGGAATTTTTCCAAATCCATTTGGACATAATTCGATCAAAAATGGTGCAATCATACCCAAAACAAAAGTTGACTTAGATATTCAGCTGATAGATCTGTAAACCAAATTTCATTTCAGTGTGTGCAAGTTCTGCAAAGAAAATGGACAGAAACTGCAAATAAATGGAATATTTCTAAGTGCAAGGGGCATACCTCTGACAAAAATGGTGTAATTGTACCCAAAACAGAACTTGATTTAGATATTAATCTGATATACCAAATTTCATTTCAGTGTGGGTAACGGTTGTTAAGAAAATGAACGGAAACTAAATGGACTGACAGACAGCAGCAAAGCAATATGCCCTCCCTTAATTCTTCGAAAGGGGCATAAAAATAAGTCATATATATTTATTTATTGGACTAAACATTGTAGTAAAAGTCATATACATTTAATATTTATACAATAAAACACAATTATGGCAGACATGATTATAATTAATTGAAACTTATAGCCAAGTGATTTTCTTTCCCTACATGGGTTTTAACCATTCTGTAAAGCTAACAGATACATGTATAATGAATTACTTAAGTATTAAAGCAAAATTGTCATCCTTGAAACTTCGTAATGTTATTAGTGTATTTTATTGTATTTCATTTAAATTCATGCAGACTGAATTACTAGAAAGCTTTTTTCCCAATGGCATATTCTTTTTTCTTAACAGTTAGCCACTTGTGGAATTCCTTGACATCAAAGTCATTGAAAATGTCAGATTTCTCATGCTGAAATGATGCATGGTGCCTGTTTGGTGTAACTGTGAAGACATCTGCATTTTGCAATTCTCTCACCACTTTCTGTAAATCACCTGTTGAATCTTGTGACACATGTTTTCTTGAAACCGGTGCACCTTGAATTTGCTTCTCTAGGTGATGGTTTACATCATGGCAGAACATCATGGTCTTTCCAATACGTTTCACTAGTTCTGGGGAGTGATTTTGATTGACCAATTTTACACGTGACTTAGCGTATTTGTTCAAAAGTTCCATGACATAGTCACCATCAAGATTTTTTCCTTTGCCCCCACTCAAATTAATGAATCTGTTCCAAATTATTTGATGCTTCATTCGAGGTGTATATAGTGCCATTATACCAGCCTGGAGGAGAAAAGCTTCTAATCTGTACTTGACTTTGTGAGCTGTGTGGTACAAAAGCATTGCATATTTCCAATGGCGAATTACCCTGTTTCCATCACCACTTCTGGTGGCCATCACACAGATTTTCCTCAGTAAGGAAAATTTCAGAAAATTCGTTGCATAGTTAAATACACCATCTTGTTGGTGACCGTGACCATCTGTTGCATCATCTTCATTCTCAAGCCTTTCGATGCTTTGGGATATTTTGTTTAGGAGGAGTTCATCCACTAATTCTCCAATCATGTGTTTTAGTGTTCGCTTTTTTAGAGGCATATCCGCTAAGTGAATTCCATTTGGAATTCTTATGCATTGACTATTCATGTCAGTCATACCAAAAAAGTTTAACGCTGCCGCAATAACATGACCTTCACAGGCCAAATCTACAAATGCACCAATTGCATGATAATCTTTTGACACACTTTTGGTAACATTTCTTCTGTTTATTAAGCATTTAAGTTGGTATAATGTTCCTACTTCTCTGGCACTGTCTACACTGTAAAATTTGTCCATCAGCATCTAAAATATATATCATGAAAAATATTTAATGTTATAAAATATAAAACACATGTTTAATTGTATGAGTTTCATGTTTTATATAATCATTATCAATCATTCAAACCTGGATAAAGTTCATCTTTTCATGAAAGTCTTCTATCATACTCATGCACCCTTCAAGTCTTTCCTCAGGTGTGTCACTATCTAACCGTACCATATGGGCTCCCCTTACTCTTTCACAAGAAAGCTGATCCCCACCAAGTGGAATTGTTCTCATTGCAGATTTTTCTTCTCTATTTTAATATGTAATAACATTAAAATATTATACTGGCAATATTTTTATACACCGATGAAAGAAACTTTCTTTACTGTAAGTTTTAAGCATAATATAAAAATGTAGTCTCATGTTTGCTAACATAAATGCACAATTACAAACTAACCGGATTTCAATATTTTCCAATTCCTCTTCACTTCTTGAAAATGGTACGTATTGGTGCAAATACTCCAAGATCTCCACCATGTCATTCATTTTATTTTCACTCTTTTCCAGTATACCCAGTGGTAGCTAAAGACATAAATTTAAATAGCATGTATACAAAACAAGAAAATTACTATGGACAGGATTGACAATCAAAGAGAACAACTTATTTATCTGTATAGATATTCAAACTTGTTGTAACAAAAGAATTTTTTTTACCCTAAGGATTTATTTATCACATTTTGCTTAAAATTCAAGAACATAATTAATATATACATGTATCTTATAAACTTACAGTTCTTTCGCAAGTTTTAAATATTCTTCATTATGCCCATCATTTGACTTACAACCTGCAAATTCATTTACATGCAAAAAAGCAATGATACAATGTTAAAAATAACATGTTATTCAACAAAATATTAGTCAGTAAAACTTTAATAGTCATGTAGGACCTTTAGGGTTCTCAATTAAATAGAATATTATACTTTACCCTGTATGCTATATCAATTTTGGCTAAAATAATTTCATTTAATTGTTGTGTTAGCAAATTTAAGATGTATGCGTTTGTAATAAAACAATTAATAGATGACATGAGACAATTTATGGTTAAAGGAACTACATGATCATGATCACATGCAAAAAACTTATTAGTATAAAATGAATTAATTCTGTTAGTTTTCAATTAAGATCAATTCCTGTGAATTACCACACAACACTGCACAAATTAGTTCATGTACTTTGTGTTGTTTTGATTAATATGAAGAAGGTTAGATCATTAATTCAGAAAGTGACACAAATGGTTCCATGTTCAAAAGACAATTTTTCAGATCATGTTGAATGTACCTCTCAGATGTATAATGCATGACAGATATTTTAAATTTCAAATCTGTCACCCAGAATAAAACTGAAAGTTTTAGGTTACAGGAATCTCTCATATGCTAAGACTAATCATCTTCAATCTGTAAAAAAAAAAAAATGAAAATTTTCTACATAAACAGGTAATTATATAATTATATAATATTTTTTGAAACTGCGTTCCATTTAATCAATGAATATTAGCAAAATGTTCAGTTGATGATCTTGATAATGTAGAAAACTTTGTGAAAAACATAACTTCATGCATATATTTCCTAATTCAACAACATGCATATATTTATGCATTCATACCACAACAGACTTCTCATCAACAACATCAGAATATTCATGAGTGAAATTTTGGGGGTAAACATCCTTAAAAACTTCAAAAGCTTTCACATTCTCAGTCAGAATAAGAGAAATAACATGTATGAGATCATTTCTTAAACTGTCGTTATCAGCTGCTGTTGGCAGAAATTGACAATTGTCAATGTTCAACAAGTTACCAATGGGTTCATCATTTGGAAGATGTTCACAATTGACCCGATCTTTTACAGCCAGCATTTGCACATAATGCCTAGACTGATTTTGATGATCTTCTGTCATATCACGAACTTTAATTAGGAAATCTAGGTTGTCAAAATTGAACCTGTATCCTGGTGAAAATTCAACACATGGGTTTACATTACAGTATTCATGGTCAAATTTGTTGCCTGAGACAGAAGGGGTACTGCTTGGTAAATAGTCATGATCCATCAACTGCAAATTTCTGTCTTCATTTTGAACAAACTGTTGTAATTTTTTGTTGTTTTCAACAGAGTTTTTTAGCTGCTCCATTGTTCTGTCTATAGTGGACTGTGCTTTGGTTAATGTTCTATGAACACTGGAATGGCTGACTGATAATCCAAGTTTGCATAAAATATCAAAACCTTCTTTCTGTAATTGGCTGTTGTACATAGATATGGCAACCAGATGCTGAAGTTTATTAAGATACTTTGATCTGGAGTTTAGCAACACAAATGCTGCAGTTACAACCTTTACTGTGTCATACACTTTTCCATTGCTGAAGGCTATAGTTTTAAGTACATTCCACACAAGGGGAGTAGAGTTTTGAAGTAATCGTGCTAATTGGCAGATGTCGAATTGAAGTAGATCTTCCTCAGAGGTCTTCTGAAAAGCATCTTTTTTACATTGAAGCATATCTTTTGACGTTTTGCTTACAACATCACACACACCCTTTATAGATTCTTCCCTTGTAATAACATCATCACTTCTCAACATCAGTTTTGTAGCTTTTCTTATACTTCCAGCCAGCAAGCTTCCTACTATATGTGATACTCTTTCTTTTACTTCAATGCTTTTGTACATTCGGTTTTCTCTTCGTTTATTAGATGTTTTTTGGGGTAATGGAGAAGGCAAACAACACTGCACTTCTTTGTCCAATGTGAGAGGAACATTATCTTGAAAACTCTCATCCAAAGGATAATAGACCCTTTCAAGGTTATTGGACGCCATCTTGGATTGGGGGCATCACGCGACATCGTAGCTAACGTAAACAATGGCAGCTGATGCAGAAGCACCGCATCAATTTTCGTCTAGCGATCGCTTCACAGTCATTGTCATTTGAAACTGAATGTATACGTATTGTAAGCAACATATTTTATTCTAAAAAAGAACATTTTCTTTAATAATTGGTGTTTATTTACCTTAAATGAACTGCAATATTACAACATGCACCATGTAAAACGTGCGGAGATAGAGTGTTTATGTTACGCTACTATCTATCATCTTCTTACAATTTAAGCATAAAATATTTGTGAAAATCAAAACAAAAGAAGGTTTAAGCATAAAAACACTCATTTACATTTTATTTTTTACTTTGATGATTTTTTAAAAATTAATTTCTTTTATATCTATACCACTAACGCGGGCGGATCCAACTGAGAATATTGAGAAGTACTGAATGAATAAAAGCCCATAAAACATCTGTAAATAGACCAATATATTTAAAAAAAAAATTATTTTAACATAACGTTTTTAGCTATTTTATTGAGACAACTTTAAATATGTTTTAATTAATTAAATATTAACTATGTGTAATATTATAGAATGATTTAAAAATATGTTGCATGTGTATATCAATATCAAAATTGCAACTTCAAAGTAAATAATTATACAAATTTATTTAAACAGTAGTTTTTAAAAAATAATTTTAATCAAACAAAAAAAATTGTCTGTGTCATGTGCACTGTGTGTGTAAAATTCTGCTTAACTTTTAAAATCATTTTAAAATAAGGTTAACAATGCTATTTACAATTTTTGGGACTTCTAAAGCTATATATAAGATTTAGACTGTGTATTGACATTGAAAGTACTTCAACAGTTAAAGCTTCTGACTAGTGATGCAAAGTCTCTGATTCGATACCTGGTTATCTAATAATAAATTTCATCATGAACATTTATTAAAACATAAAAAAATGTTAGTTTGCCAGATATGATACAAGAATCCAAATACATGTACACATGTACATGTATTGAAGACCTTTCCTTTGTTTAGGACTTCATTTTGTTGATATGATATTTCATCCATCACTTGTGTATATTTTTGTAACAATACAATCCGACTTCCCTTTTTCTATTTCATGCACATCTAACAAGAAGTCTGTGAGCCAATGCTCACCAATCAAACCCCTGCTCTGATGTGAATATACAATATTATATTAATAAACTGAAGTTACAGTTACAGGCAGATGCATGGATCAATAGGAAGTTGACATCCGATTCATAGAAAAATGAAATCCAACCAAATGGCATGCCTCAGCAAAGAATGTGCTAAACTTTCAAGCATCTGTGATGAGTAGTTGCTGAGAAAACTGCAACCAAAAATTTGTTTTGGACAGACAGACTGACTGGCACACACGGGTAAAACAGTATTCCCTCTCTCCTTTGGATGGGGTATAAAAATAGAATTTATACATCCTATGTTTATTTTCATTACTTATACATACACTGTATATGAAATCTCAGTGATTGTATAGCTGCGCAGAAATATATAATTCAATTGAGAGAAAGGTCACAGAAGTACTGTAGACAAAATATCTGGCTAATATTCCTCATGAAAAAATTTAAGCAGGTATCCTACTCTTTCTCAAGCATATGCATTTTGAATATAGTCAAACTATCCTTATGATTGAAGAAAAAAAAACAAGGAAAAATAACACAGTATCTTTATCAATTAGTCCGACAATAAGTGAAAAAATTGCATTCAGCAGAAAAAAAAAACAAAGAATTCCTAAATTTCCTTTTTGTATGATCATTGTACAACAATCCCCTACTCTCCCCCTCCCCTAAAAAACTGTGTATGAAAAAAAAATTTACAAATTTAGTGAAATTAGATTCTTTGATTCACTCGTCAATGGATCACTGTATAATGTTTAGCAATTTATGAAACAGACATGAAAGAAACCATATGTGGATTGTGGTGTTACCGCGTGTACCCCTCAATTCCAATGGATACAATATATACACAGCACACAATACAAAAAGCTTATCAATACAGTTGTCGTGTCCCCCACTTATCAATATGAACATTGTTTTTGTTTGTCAAAACATTAGTTTTCAGTTGATCCCGGCCCTCTTCCTTCATCACCCTGAAATTTCTTCAACAGACCTGGAAGCTAGATCTAGGGCTCAATTTTAAAATGTGGGTAAATCACATTCATATATATAGCACATGACATCCCAAGGATCACGTGCTAAAGAGAGTCAAGTATTCTCAATTGAAAACAATTTTACATACATGTACAATTTTATTATTTATTATGATTATTACATGTATTTTTACAAGCTGAAATAAAAATACAAGTTTTAATATCATGTCAATTTTTTTTTCTTTCCTTTTAAACAGCTGTTATTGTAACAACTTTGAAAAAAAAACATTCATTTGATTTTTCTGAGTATACATGCAAATATATGCAAAGACATTGCATATAATAAAGTAAGTACGATAGGTATTTGCATTGTATTTCAAATAGTTGTAATATAACATGTATAATTTGTTCAAGAAATATGTCAGTCTGCAAACATTTTGGTCAAATTTGTAAAATTAAAATATCCATGGGAAATGTAAATCCTTAATATTTAGTTGAAGCTAAGGCCATTCCAAGTTTTTTATCTCTTTAGTGTCCGTCCATCTTTCAAAAACCTAGCTACCTATTCGCTAAAAACACACAGGTACAAAAAAAATAAAACACATATTTTATAGTAATATAAATGACGTAATTCAAAAGATAGGATTTCATTTATCTATTTTTCATAAAGAAAGTTATTTTCTTCAGCAAAATCAAGGCATTAAATACTAAAACTATTCCAATAATGATATACATGTATTATACAAATATTCAGAGATATTGCTGGAAATCAAAAATTTTGACCTGAATAATCAATTTTCGAACTCCCAATTCTGTTTGTTTTTTCTGACATGGGGTGTCAAAAACCAAGGCGCACGCAGACACTAAACATAAAAAAAAATTGGAATGGCCTAATCAGTATTTTGATGTTAATAAGTGTACTTTATCTTTCAACAAAAATATGTACATGAGCGGTATTCTAAAGTTCATAAAAAATGTCCTAGCAAATTCAAAAGGACAATGTAAAGCCCTCTCTCTTTCAGTTTCTATCACAAAATAGACTGTATATGATTTCTCTACATTTAATCAAGATGAGATAAAATCCATGCGTGGATATCGTGACTTTTGATTATTGTTATCCCATACGAGTCCAACAGCTACATGGTAGGGCTGCCGCAGTCTGGATTTGAATTGAGGATTCTTCAAAATCTGTAATGAGGAGATTATACATTTCAAAGGAGTAGGACCAATATTCTTCAGAGTTTAATATCTATG